ATTCGAATAAACTGCGTAGTAGAAATTTACGTTACAATTCAAATTCTTAAATTAACGGATTTCATCTAAATTAACTTAAATCTAAATTCGTAACATTGCCCCCCGCTTAAGCCTGTTCGTCCCGAATAGGCACAGTTCCCGTTCCGTAGGGGGTCAGCCGCTCCAAATGTACAACTTTCATCTTCGACCTGGGACTGTCGCTCCTCTCAATGCGATAAACCACATCATTTATTTTCGTGACAATCTTGTAGGGTCCTTCCCAGTGCGTTTGCAATTTGGGGCATAGTCCTTTCTTTCGTTGTGGGTTAAACAATAGTACCAGTTGCCCTTCTTGAAACCCATCGGTATTTGCCGCTCGATCGTACCTTGCCTTCATGCGGTTGCTAACCATTTTTATTCGATGGCGAACTGCATCGTGGACTTTACTAAAAGAGTTTTCACTGTCTTCTTCTTGGTTCACATCGTCGTTTGGGGTAGCACCGAATATCAAATCGCCAGGTAGCTTTAATTCATTTCCGAACAGAACTTTGGCTGGGGTCCGGGATGTGGAATCATGAATGGCCGATCTATAAGCCAGTAAAAACTTTGGAATATGCTCATCCCAGTCTCGTTGGCCACTGTCCACCACTTTCCGTAGATGTTCTTCCAGGGTGCGATTGAATCTTTCCACCATGCCATCTGATTGCGGATGTAGGGGCGTCGTTCTGGTTTTCTTGATTCCGTAGGAGTCACACATTTCCTTCAAGATCGCTGATTCAAAATTGCCATCTGATTGTGGATGTAGGGGCGTCGTTCTGGTTTTCTTCATTCCGTAGGAGTCACACATTTCCTTGAAGATCGCTGATTCAAAATCGGAATGAACCTCCGATGGAACACCATAGCGACAAATCCAATTTTTGCTGAACACATCCACAATTGTCCTGGCTTCTTGATTTGGGATAGCATAGACATACCGGTTCCCAGAGTCGCTTGTTGGGAACGGTCCAGCTACATCCATTGCGATTCTTTCAAAAGGGGCTCCTGAATTATACTGCTGCATGTAGCCTCGACTCTTCCGTCTTGGACCTTTAGCTCTTATGCACCTTTCACAATTGGCGATCCAGTCGGCAATGGATTTTTGACAGCCGACCCAGTAGAATCTCTGCTTTACCTTTTCAGCGGTTTTTGGTAAAGCTGAAATTTAAATGAAAGAAATTTACGTTACAATTCAAATTCTTAAATTAACGGAATTCATCTAAATTAACTTAAATCTAAATTCGTAACAGTATAATATGGAAGGTAGTCTCGTGCACTCATATGTTCAATTTTTTTTCTTATTGCACTTTCATTCTCAAAAATTATAATTTTGATTTCCTCCTTAGTTAGGTAAAAAATGTATAAGTGAAAATGTATAAAAGATCGAAAAAGCGGAAAATTAATTATATGGGGTGTTGGTATTTGTTAAGACCCAGGAGGGAAACCGATCATGACTAAATCGTAGTTGTGGATTATGCTAATATTAAATAAATGATGGACATTAAATCGGAATGACACGATTTACATATCCAGAATCTTCAATCGGTGGCTTGACGTGAAAAGGCAAGAAGTCCACCTTTTCTAAACATTGAAATTTTCTTATAGACATTTTCAGTAAATAAAAATACACGATTTAATTATTGCTGTTATTTAGTTGTGATGACCCGAATTTTTGTTCGCTAAGTCGAATTTATTATATGTCTCTCCTATAAAATTATAAAATATGGTCTTATTGCATTGACATGTTAAGTCAGTGATATGGGTTCATACTTAAAATTATTACCTTTTTTACCTCCTGGGAACAATATCCCCAACAAAAACTAAGGGAGCTGATGAGGATTAGTGGCGAAATCCGAATCCCTGCCTTACCCCTTGGTGGACAATGACATTTTTCCCCAGTAATAATTATTTTTTTTTTTTATATAAAAACACCATACTGGGATGCAAAACCAAAATACGAAGTTAATGAATAACATTAACTTTCCTGCCTCTCAATGAAAACTTCAAAAAGAACAGAGGCAAATTACCAAATATAAAGAAAGGGTTATTTAGAATAAGACTTTATATGAATATTCAAATATGCCACTCGTCGTACGTAAATGGTTACGATTTCAAATACAAATTTTATTTGAAAATTACAAAATCAAGTATAGAGTTTTTGGGGTTGCCATCATCGATTTAGCAAATGAGATTACCTTTAATAATTATACCATACCGCACTTAATTTTTCAGATATTTTATAATATCGATAGTATGAACATGTGAGACAAGTTTTTCATATAAGAAAAAATCTCATATAAGAAACAATCACATATAAGAAAGATTATCAAAAACTCCGAGTTTATACTTTCTTATATGCTATAATTCCATATAAGAAAAAACGCATATAAGAAAGAAATCTCCCGTTTTTTTCTTTTTGAGTTTCTTATATCCGATATCCACTGTAGTTTGTGTTTTTGGGAATAAGAAAAAAGTCCTTAAAATCTGATTCGTATTTCTTTCCCAACATTAAATCGACATAACTCAAATATTTAATGAATGGCAAATTTGTTCGACATTTCTGGTAATTTAATACAATTGTAAAAAATAAAACTTGTTTATTTTTAATAATTTTTCATGTTTTTGTAAATGTGTGACTTATTTGAAATGAAAATATCATATGTCTATTATAAATAAGTTTATTAGCATTTCCAAGAACATGTTGCGTACAATTATACCTGTGAAGGATACAATTAAGTGTTAATCTATCATTAAACAAAAGATTAACAAACAACAAAGCACACAAACTAAATAAAAATCACATAAAACGAAAAAAACAAATATTTTCTCCTTGGTAGATAAGAAAATTCAATAAAAATGCCGAAAAGAAACTTAAATAACTTCTTCTATAAAAACTGACAAATTTTATGCGTTATAATCATTCGTCACAAGAAATCGGAGATACTAAATCACATTGACGTGTGGACTTCTTGGGTGTTAACATTATGACACAATTATATAAAATTTTGGTAAGTAAATTAAATAGTTTTTTACGAATAATATTCATACATGTCCCCCTTAGCCTTTGATGGCAGTGTTGGCCTTTGTCCTGATTGCCCAACAGATTGATGCCAAATGTGATACATGTGGCAGCAACGGTATTGCCTGTATCAATGAAACATCGTTCCACATGTGTTATGGCTCTCTTCCGGATACCAGTAGTGTTCTAACTTGCCCCGAAGGACGCATCTGCGTACGTAACGGCTTGAAGTGTGTTGTACCTGGTACTGGTGCCGAGCCTGATTGCATTCGTGAGAAGAGCTGTGGGGAATGCGATGGCTCAAAGTTATTTACCTGTACTAGTCGCAGGACATACGCCATGTGCAATGGAACGAAAATTGTCGAAAACGGAGGTGGAGTATGCCCGAAAAATTTAATTTGCAATTCGTCCGGTAGAGAAATGTGCGTTACTGAATGTGATTTAAATGGAGCAATTGAATGTGATCGTGATCCATAGAAGTTTAAGTTTTGTTTTATTCTTCTGAATGTAAAATTGGCAATAAAACTCGGAAGAACTAAAGTAAGAAATGGCTTTAAATAATGCAAGTCAAAATAAAAGTATTTTGGATCTGACGTAATTGTATGAATAATTGTACAATTTATATACAGGATTTTCATCATTGTTATAAGTAATCTCTATGAAAAATTAACTGTCGTGTATTTCGAGGATGTATTGAGACATTGAGAACACAAAATGTCATTTACTACCAATTCGGTTGAACAAATTAGTCGTTCATAATAAATATCATCGGTATTAGATGCTTATATACATATATTTGTGTGTATATGTATAAACAAATCGAAAAATTTCAACGCGATCAGCACAAGTACATGCTCAGGCATGTGGTGTGAACTAGGAATATTTACTTCGTACGAAAAGACAAAGGGATAGAAAAACCTTTACTTGATTATTTGAAATTAGTCCTAGGAATAGGTTGATTATTAGTGGGTTTTAATATATATATATATATATATATATACATATATGTTAAAATCATCTCAGTCATTTATTTTGAACAATCTGCATTTGTTTTAGATGACAATTGGCTGCTCGATACCAAACGGGCGATGCATATGTAAGACAAGGCCTGATAACGCATTTGAAAATCAAATTTTTATTTTGCAAGCTTAAAAATTGAGCGCGTGTTCAGGAAAGCGATTTCATAGTTTTCTCGCAGGTTGTTTGAATGAGTTTTTGGTCTAGTATTACTCCGAAATATTTGACATCTTTTTCATAATATTTTTTCCAAATTTAGCTCAAGTTCGAAGATGGGGATTATCGTTCCACTCCCTCTGGTACTTCCCCCACAAAATGGTCAAAATTTTGCTTAAATTAATTTTATAATATCATGTGAAAAGACTATCCGATTTAAACCAAATATTAGACAACCAATTATTATGTTTACCAAGCCTAGATCAAGTCCATTCTTCTGGTACCACCCACACAAATGGTCAACATTTTCAATATAATTAAATCCAATATCAAGCCAATGGAATATCCGAGTAGAACCAAATATTGCACAACTTATTATCAAATATTTGGTCAGGAGCGAATAATCTTGGAACATATCAGAAGTAGACCTACGTCGACTATGTTTTCCAAGGATATTTTACAAGCTATAGGCCACGAGGAATAGTAAATTACAGCCATTTATAAAGACAAATTTTGGGGCAACAAGAAACATAGAACCTAAAATATCAAATTGCAGCCAATGTAATAATTGATAATTTTTCAGGGTTTAGAAAATAAATATAAAACAGATAATTCGGTTGGAAAATATGTCAAAAAATCCTGAAAATACCTAAAATGTGGGCAGTATATGGTTTTTCCTGCTAAAATTCGGACCTGTTTTTTAAATATTTCACTGAAATTTCACAAATATTCATTTATTAATTTACAAATATTAATATTGACCAAGGTTTAAAATATATAGATGACAATGATGACAGATTATAGAAATAGATGACAAATAGAGGGCACATGTCAGTTAGTTAAAATAGATGATTATTCTCTTAAAAAGGGGTCACCTTATGATAGGACACACATGTCTAGATCGACTCAGCTAGTCGAGATATTATGTGATATGATCGATATACTAAAAGGTAGATCTAGGATTTTGCGGGGTTACAAACTCTTGGGGCCACACAAAACTATAATACCCTGACAAAATAGTTATGTAGAGTGTAATTAGAAAATGGAAAGTAGAGGATGTAAAGAAAGCTGGGAAAACAAAATATATATTATATGTTTCTGCATCACTGATGGATGAAATGGTAAAACATTTAATTGAAATGCCGTACTACATTGTATACTTAATCTAATAATTTCTTTTATTCTACGTTCACCTAAATACACAAAAGTAAGGACCAAATGTACCACCAATTCAAAAACTTCTAAAAAACAATAAATATTTCATAAAACATATGAAAATTTGAAATGAAAACTCCAAAGTTGGAAATTCGCCTAAAAAACGTTTCGATTTCAAAAGGCTTTAATAAAGAGATCCAGTATTTCTGCCGTTTTTGAGGTAAGATCGATTTATATGGAATCTATAAAATCAGCTGTTTAAACTAGTATTGTCAACAATATTACTTAGCTGGCTTGTGACAGAACTTTTGTTCCATAAGCCGAGCTTAAAAAGGATTTCCAGGCTCGTCCGTCTTTTGCGCAGACTCTCCAGTTTGAAAGATCACATTCGTCCTCCACTTGTTCTTTCCATCTTATTCGCGGCCTTCCACTTCTGCGTGAGCCATCAGCTGGTTCGCCTTTATATGCCTTTTGGGCTGGGTCATCTTCATCCATTCCCACAACAAGACCTAACCAAAGTAGTCGCTGCAGCTCAATACGTCTAACAATGCTGATGTCCGAGAATAGCTGGTACAGCTCATGGTTCATTCGACGGCGATATTCACCGTCAACGCATATCGGCCCATAGATCTTTCGGAGAATTTTTCTCTCAAACACTCCAAGAGCTGCCTCATCTGCTTGCGTAAGTACCCATGCTTCAGATCCATATAATATCACGGGTAGTATCAGCGTCTTGTAGAGTGTGAGTTTGGTCTAGCGGCAGGTGGCCTTGCTTTTGAGTTGCTTACTCAGACCATAGTAGCATCTGTTGGCCAACACTATTCTTCTCCGAATTTCAAAACTGTTGTTATTAGTTTTATTTATTGCGGTACCAAGGTATATAAAATCCTTGACTACCTCGAAGCTGTAGTTCTCAAGTTCCACTGTTGGTACGAGTCTACTGGACGTCATGCGCGTTGATACCATCAGCTTGGTCTTCTCGCCGTTTACTGCCAGACCCACTTTAGCAGACTCCTTCTTGATTTATTCAAAGGTGGCTGCTACCGCTCTCAGTGTTCGACCCATTATTTCGATGTCATCGGCGTAGGCGAGTAACATGTGTTGTTTGGTGTACAAATTGTCATTTCTGTTCACCTTTGCCACTCGTATGACCTTTTCCAGCAGGATGTTAAAAAGGTCACACGACAAACTGTCATCTTGTCTGAATCCTCGTTAGGTATTAAAGGGCTCCGAGAGGTCCTGTCCGACTTTAACTGCTGATCTTGCGCCAGTTAAAGTTATCCTGTATAGCCGAATTAATTTTGCAGAAATGCCAAAAGCAGACATGGCTTTAAACACCTCTGAACGAATGCGGCTTTATAGTCGACGAATTGGTGGAATGTGTCGATGTGTTTTTTGCGCAGAGTGAAAATCTGGTCAATGGTGGACTTGCCAGTTCTGAAGCCGCATTGGTATGGTCCAATAATGTCATTGACCATTGATTTCAGTCGTTCACACATCACGCTGGATAGCACTTTATATGCGATGGAAAGGATACTTATTCCTCTATAATTGGCACATATAGTCTTGTCTCCTTTTTTATGCACGAGATACAGGTTGCTGAGGTTCCAATCATTGGGCATGCATTCCTCTAGGAAAATTGTACTAATCAGCTGGTGCATGCTCCTTACTAGCATCTGACCACCAGTCTTGAATAGTTCGGCTCCTGCTGCTTTATTATTCCTCAGCCTATTGAGTGCTATTCTGACCTCATCTTGGCTAGGTGGTATACACTCTATACCGTCCTCTTTTATTGTTTCTGGGGTATATTCTTCATCGCCACTACTTGATACCAGAAGCTTTTCAAAATGCTCCTTCCAGATCCTCAACACGCTGTCTGTATCTGTCACCAGATTTCCTTCTTCATCTCTACAGGAGGATGTGCCTGCAACAAAGCCTTCGGTTTTGTGTTTTACTCGTTGGTAAAATTTCCCGACTTCATTCTGACTCCTGTACATCTCGATTTGCTCACGTTTAGGTTTTTTTCTGTCTTCTCTTTTCTGAAAATACGTTTCTCCTCTTTCCTTTTCTCCCGATAATTCTCCATCGCATTACGTGATGCTACTGTCAGCAGGGTTGCTCTATACGCTGCGTTTTTCACATCAGTAGCATTACGACACTCCTGATCGTACCATGGGTTTCTTGGTGGTGGTTTTTGGTACTGCTTTTGCTGCAGTATGTAGGGAGTGGGCAATTCTTTGCCATTGTGCTTCTATACTATTATCGGGACAAGAAGTGCTTTCGTCAAGCAGGTGGGTAAGTTTATCGGTGTAGGTGTCTGCTACCTGTTGTGTTTGCAACTTTTCAACGTCAAGTTTCCGTGTTACATTATAGGAGGTGATGCAAATGTGGTATACCCATTTGTGTTTAGATTGCCAAATTTTTATTTTTTATGCTAAATGTGTTGTCTTTCCATGTATCAATTTGAAAATAATATTATTCTAACAATTTAAGAGATATTTGAGAAAATATTTGAAATCCCATAAAAAGTGATTTTAAAAAAAAGTGCAGGTAATGTGGTATACCACATGATGTTAATGTGGTATAGTATAATTTTCACTTCCAATTGATATCTTATATAATTTATTGTTTTTAATGAATGCGAATTAGCTCGAGATTTATGTCTGTTAAGATTTTTAACGGATACGTTGAGTGCAACTTTAATCTTTATTAATTAATAATGTCTACACATGGCAATATTTAATTTTTGTATGGAGAAGTTGTTAAAACTCATAGCCTTTGTTTTTCATCCTTGTGATTCATGGTAGACTCTCGTAGAGTACAAATGTTTCACATAGTAATGAGATTTTGTCTAGTGCTGGCCTTTTTTCATGCAGAATCAAGGTATACCACATTACCTACACTTGTGTTTACTGAAGAAATGTCTAGTTTTTTTCAAATTGGTGATTATGTGGTGCAATCGCGCATATTATTAGATTTTTAGTTCATACTGATTATTTTAATGCTTTAGTAATAAAGATTAAAGTACATCCGTAAAACAAAAAAATATTTTTAAACTTCAACCGAAAAAAGTCAAATTCATGAAAAATTTTATTTTTGGTACTGATTCTCAACGTGATTTAAAAAAATTATACAGGTCATTGCTATCT